CCAGCACTGGGGTCTTGGGGTGAGTAGCTCCCAGGGTAATCATCATCTTCCTCCTCCTGTATTTGCTGAAAAGTCCGTTTCAGAGACTTCTTCTCCTCTGTAACTAAGGACACACACGCGCAACTCATTTGGATGCTGGATCTACCCACCTCAACCATCTCTGCTTCAAAACCATGGTAGCAGATGCTCTAATGGTTAAGCTCTCTACAGAGAGGGATGATCACAGGTGGCCTCTAATGTTGGCATTGTATTCCAAACACTGACATGCAAAACAGCAATAAAGGTTGATATTGCCATATACACAATGACCTGACAAAGAGGCAGCAACAGTCACACCCATGGAAAGGCCTGAGCTGTTCCCTCATGCAAGAGATATCACATTAGTACCTCCTATTACCCTGACAAGAACTAAGTTTCTCACCAAGTGAAGTCCTGCACAGGCCAGTTCTTAAACCATCTGTATGTCTTCAGTCTGTTTCCAACAGGGAGAGCTCTGTTACCCCCAGAAGGGTTTGATTCTGTGTAACCGTTTTTAAGTTGCAAAGGTAACAGTAGCAGGGCTGGTTGATGCCAAAGCCAGGAGGGGACAGAGCAAGGGGAGGCTGCCAATCCCCCAGGAAATCCCTGCCTGTTCCTTGGACACACAGTATCGTTTCTTTAGATTACACCTTAAACACTTGTGAAGCTCTTACCTGGATACCTCAGATTAACAGTTTCAAACCCCAGTTCATCGGTTCAACAGAATTTAGGCATGTAAATCCTGCCCTTTCATGGCAAGAGGCTCCTACACACTGCACCCAGGCCACAGGGAAACCTCAACACCAGCTATTGGGTGTAGGCAAATACAACTTGCACCTTCCCCTCCCACCTCTCAGAACAGAGACCTCCTCTGTGGGATAAAGAGCAGACAACCCACTGGTCAGCTCAGCTGGTCTCCAGCTTAACCTGAAGGCCTCAGCAGTAACTCTGCTTGAAACAGCATGTGAAAACCCACAAAGCTGCAGCCACAGGTGTATGTCTTCACATGCACGTCTCATATTAACGCTCATTTTCATATTCATTCTGGATTAATTACCATCTCCAGTAGACACATCTGCCTCTTTCACCACCTCAGAACAGCCCAAGGGCACTCCACTGATGCCTGAGCCAACCGCACCTCCATGGGGAGCACAGCAAAATGTGGTCAAAGCAGCAATCTGATTTCAGCTAATCTGAAAACACTGACACTTCCTTCAGCTACAGAGTAGCCAAATATCCCCTTGACCAAAACACTGGATTTTCAGTGACCCTGCCCTGCGTTACTCATCTACGCCCCCCTTCACTACAGTCCAACCAGTTAAACCCTTTCAGACAAGAGGCAGGATCTGCCACAGCCGTATAAAAGCAGACTAAATGCAAGAAGCTCCTGCTCAGTTCCTCACGTCTGTCTCATGCAGCAATAAGTTTCCAACCACAATTTATAATGATGTTAAATGATGCAAAGCTCTTGTCTTCCCCAGCTGACGTCAGCTGGTGTAAGAAAAGCACCCAGCCCAGCTCCTGGGCATGTATTCCAGCCTTCAGTTACTAAAAAGCCCTTGAAAAAATATAGTAAGATACAGTAACTATGTTAAATAAATCAAGATGAGGATGAAAGCACCAACAATCCTGAATAACCCATTATAATGACCCAGCTGACCATTCTCAGAGGCAGTGGGACACTTTCAACTCTCGAGGTGGACGCAGCAGTTCCCTGCACCCCACTCACACCAAAGGGCAGCCCTGGAGCAGTGTGGCTGCAGGGGCAGCAGGAGCAGACATAACCTTCAGTTCAACTTACTGCCACCCACAAGTCACAAGGCAACACATCTGCAAACTGGAACTGCAGGTTTAAGGAGAATCAGCCTCCTCTGAAGCCAATCCTGAGGATTCCCCATGAGCAGCTCTGGCAGCAGCTCAGCTGCAGGAGCCCTGAGCCCCATTCCTCACAGAACATCCACTGAAACATGCACCAGTGTGAAACCAAAGCACACAAGAAAAGCAACACACATTTACCTTTAGTTTGGGGGCTATTGGAGTCTTCCATCGAGAGCTTCAGCTGCTGAATGAACTCACTGCCATACACACTCCTCTCCTGCCAGATGTTAAGCAATCGTTCCAAGGGCTTTTTGCAGCCCTCATCTGCTTCTCTGTTTAAATATTAGAAAATAATAATGATTCAACTCAGAAACATTCTTTATGTTTTAAGAGAGCATCTTCTAAACCATTAGCTGCATGTTTGGAGAGAATCTCTCATACTGTCCAAGACAAACTGTGCAAAACCCATTTGTGGTTAATTTTCCCTTTCACTGGAACCAAAGATTGTCTGAAAGTGCCCCACATTCCCACCCAGAGTAAGGGCAGGGAAAGTGTTGAAGGAAGAACTTGCTCTCATTCAGAATTCGCAGGAAGAGTTATAAACCACCCCCAAGTTGACACATTTACAATCCAGAGTATTAACTTTAAGCAGTTGTTTCAGTCACTAACATCCCAATTAAACACAGGTTGTTTGGATCATTAGGCATGTAAATACAGCCATACAGCACATTCACCCAGAAAGCACAGCACTAAACACCCCAACACAGGACTGTTTAGCTGAGATAATGGGAATTATTGTGCCATTTAGAGACAATCTTAGCTACAGCATAGTCCATTTCTAACAGGCTGGAAGCTGCATCACTGCTTCCCTTTTAGACACCAACTTCTTCCTTCCTCTAGTGAGACTGATGAACAGACAAAACAGTACAAAAAGCAACTGCTCAAACCAGGTGACTGAGGAGAACCCAGTTACCCAAAACACCAGCTCCTTCTGACAATGGGGAGCGCCCTTCATGGCTTTAACACACACCTGCAAGTACTCAGTTTGGGTGCTCGCAGCAGACCTGCAAGAGCCTGTGGTAACAAGGCACAGAGCTGCATGCAGGGAGCAGTGGGGAAGCTGTAAGGAGCTGAGTCACACCAGACTTTGCCCCAGGAGGGATATTAACACTAAACAGTTCTGGCCCCAAAGCAGTGAGAATCCAACCTCCACTGCTCAGAGACCACCAGCATCCCTGAGACTGAAACACAGCAACAGGACAACAAAATCCAACTGAATCCAACTTCGATTAACAGGAAAGCACATCTCTAGAGATGGAAAAATACATAACCCAGCAACACACCTGGCAACGTGAGAAAAAGCATCCACAAGAACAGACTCGAATTCCCGGGTAAATTCAGGGCCTTTCCTCTTACTGTTCTGGATGACATCGTTGGCTAAGTACAGGAAAGTGAGTTTCCTACTCGATTTTGCTGAGAAACAGAAAAAAAGGGAGAGGGGGGAAGTGAGAGAGTTTGCATTTATTTTCCACTCTTTCACCCAGACCCGTTAACACAGTTTAAACAAAGTTGCTGAAAGCTTTTCAGTCTAAAAACGAAGTTCTAAATACTTCCACATCCCCAAGGCACAGCCCAGGCCCTGAACAGGTGGTTCTTGTTCCTCTTATTTCTGCTGGGTTGTTGGTTTTTCTTTTAAGAAAGCCATATAAGAAGTAACTTTTACACACGGTTAAAAGAAGATGCTGTAACCCACCAGCAAATTCATACAACAATAGACTTGCTTTTTCATTAACTAATTTCAGGGAAAAAAAGTTAGTAAGGAGCCACTTAATTCAGAGCAGAGCAAAATTATAGGGGAAAGCTGTTGTAGACACCCAACAACGTTCCAGGCAATGCTGGGCCAAGGCAATGTGACAATTCCTCCGTATCCCAGAACTTTTCCCACCCTGGCACCAGTTTGCACTGCCCTGTAGCCAGAACCGGCGGGAGATGCTGCTCTCCGGAGTGCAACACACACGAGGCAGAGAACAAAAGGCTCGTTTTCACTGCAGGCCTTGCTCAGCTCTCCCAGCAGTTCATGTAATGTGCTATAACTGTAACCATCGGCAATTGCACAGAGGCTGCTCCAGGACTTCCTACAGCATCACCTGCTCTGCCCGGGCTAGGGACGGTGCCTACCCCTGGGCACTGGCACCAACGCGGGCACCAGGCACCTCCTGCCCTCCTTAGGGGCCAGCCTGAGAAGTTACCTGCGCTTAACTTTAGCTAAGTGAACCTGCAAGGGATGAAGCACAAAATGCCCCTGGGCGATGCTGCTGCACGGGTGCTAGAGACCTCTACACCATCCTTCACTTCGCTTACCTCGAACCCCTCAGTGCAACTCTACAATGGGTAATACGAACCCAAAGATACACGTACAAGCAAACAAGGCTGCACACCGAGCACAGCGGGGACCGGTACAGCTCTGCCCCACAGCTCGGCCGAGCCCCTCCGGCGCTGCGGACCCAGCGCTCCCACCCCCGCTTCCCGGCTCCAGCCTTGCGCCCGGGGCTCATTAAACCAAGCCCAATGAACAGCCACAACGGCGGCAGAACGGGCCCTGGAGCCGGTACACGGCACCCCGCACAGGGCAGAACCGGCCCCGCTCGCAGCGCGCTGCGCCCGAGGCCCGGCCCGCGCGTACCTTTGCGGAGCTCCCGGTGCCACACGGAGACGATGGGCGCCGCGTGCTTGCGGTGGTGGATGAGCCACAGCGAGAGCGTCTGCACGCTCTGCTGCGAGTTGCTGAGCTCCGACAGCTTCTTCTCCAGCGCCGACTCCGAGAACGAGGACATGGCCGGCCCGGGCCGCGCTCCCTCCGCCGCCCGCCCGCCCGCACAAGATGGCCGCCCGGCCCCTCACCCCGCCGCCGCGGGTCGAAGGGCGGCATCCTACGGATCGCCGGAGGGGAACGGCGAGGCCGCACCAGCGGGGGAGGCGCACAGCGCATGCGCCTGCTCCGGCCGCTCTGCTGCGCATGAGCACTGCGGGCGGCCGCGACTTTTCTCACGGTGCGTCCCGGTGCTGGGCCCCGCGGGACCTTTTGAGCGCGGTGACAGCGCCGGTTTCGTGACGCCACTTCCGGCACCGGCACGGGCACCGGCACGGGCACCGGCACCGGCGGGGGGCAGGCCGCGGCCATGGCCGTGTTCGACTCGCCGCGGGACGCGTTCGGGGCGCTGCGCCCCGCCTGCGTGCAGCTGACGCGGGTGCAGACGGCGGAGAACGTGTGGCGGCTGGCGGCGCGGCTGGCGGCGGTGAGCGGCCCGGCGCTGCAGGAGCTGCAGGAGTACGTCCTCTTCCCGCTGCGCTTCGCGCTGAGGGCGCCGGGGCCGCGGCGGGAGCGGCTGGTGCAGAGCGCGCTGCAGTGCATGACCTCGGTGCTCGCAGCCACCGCCGTGCGCAGGCCGGAGCTCCTGCAGGAGCTGCTCGCGGAGCTCTGCGCCTGCCTCGGCCCCGGCCCCGCCGCGCCGAGCGAGGACTTGAAGCTGGCGGTGACCGAGGCGCTCCGCACGCTGCTGCACTCGGCCTCGGGCGATGTGAGCCTGTCCCTGTACCAACCGGCCACCCTCCCGCTCCTCGCCTCTGCTGTGTCCTTGCTTCTGGGGCTGGCGGAGCGAGAGAAAGCAAAGCAGCTCAAGGTCTCTGCGTTGAAGTGCTTGCAGGTCCTGGTCCTGCAGTGCGACTGCCAGGAGCACCGGCCCCTTGGCGATGACGAGGCACAGCAATGTGGGGATCTGTTTGCTTCCTTTCTGCCTGGGATTTCCCTTTCCCTGTCCCGGGTTGTTACCGGAGACATCAAACAAGGGCACAAACCCACCGTTGCTGCCATCAGACTCTTTTATCTGATTGTTGGCCTGGTGATGGCCGATGCACAGCTAGCCAGAGTCCCAAAGAGCAAAGAGAAGCTACCAGAAAAGCAAAGCAGAGTATCAGAAGTACTGGTTCATAGAGGACCTGACTGGAGCAAAAGTACAGCCAAAAATCTGTCTCTCCTCCTGTGTAAAATGGTTGAGTTCTCCTCCGTTCACCCCCACTGGAAGGTGAGACTGGAGCTGGTGGAGCTGGTCCACCACTTACTGAGGAACTGCAGCCATTCGCTGGGGAGCTCCTTCACTCACCTCTTGAAGGCCTTGGTGGGGCTGGTTAACGACGAAAGCAGCGAAGTCCAGAGCAGATGTAACGAGGTTCTGCAGTGCATTGCAGAGCAGAAGATCATAGCACAGAGCAGGGCTCTGGCTGATGTCCTCTCCGAGAACCTCCACTCCCTTGCCACGGCGCTTCCTCGCCTGATGAGCTCTCAGGATGACATGGGCAAGGTTTCCACTCTGAGCTTGCTGCTCGGCTACCTGAAGCTGCTGGGCCCCAAGATTAACATCGTCCTCAACTCCACGTCCCACCTGGGCCGCCTGTCCAAGGCACTGATGCAGGTTCTGGAGCTGGACGTGACGGACGTGAAGATAGTGGAGCATAGACAGTGGGGCTGCGAGGGCTTCCTGCAGCCTGCTGTGCAGAATGGCAGATGCCAGAGGAAATACTTCCGCTTCTTCACAGAGGAGAAGGTTTTCCAGCTCCTTCAACAAGTGTGTCGTGTTCTTGGCTACTATGGGAACCTCTATTTGCTTGTGGATCATTTCATGGGACTGTACAGCGAATCTGCCATGTACCGAAAGCAGGCGGCCATGGTCCTCAATGAGCTGATTGCAGGAGCTGCTGGAGTGGGAGTGGATGTCCTCCAGGAAAGGGAAGTGTCACCGAGCATGGACGATCTCAAAGGGTCCGTGACATCCATTCTCGATGAGTACACAGACCAGGCAAATTGGTATTTGATCACGAGCATCGATACAGAAGAAGTCAGCCATGAGCAGCTCCCTGCCCACCACACAGCACTCCCTGCCCACCCAGAGGGTACGTGCAGTACCATTCTCCTTCCATCCCCGGAGCTGCACGCAACAGCCCGCACCATGAACAGCAACATCTGGCAGATGTGCATCCAGCTGGAAGGGGTCGGCTGCTTTGCTGCTGTCCTCGGGAAGGAGTTCCGGCTGCTGCTGCTGTCGGCTCTGTACCCGGTGCTGGAGAAGGCTGGGGACAAGACCCTGCTCATCAGCGAGACGGCGCTGGGGACGCTGGCGGACGTGAGCGAGGCCTGTGGCTACGGCTCTGTGCAGCGTCTCATTAATGACAACTCTGACTACCTGGTGAACGGGATCTCCCTGGGCTTGCGCCAGCTGGCGCAGCAGCCACGGGCCTCCCGGGTGCTGGACACTATGCTGAGGCATTCGGACGCCAGCTTGCTGCCACTGGTAGAAGATGTTATCCAAGATGTCCTTTCAACGCTAGATCAGTGTTACAACAGCCAGGCTTCCACCTTCCTCGGGGTCCTGCACTCACTAGTGACAGCTTTAGGTAGCTAAACAACCTTTACTTTGTGTAATTCAGTCTAAAGGGGCTTGTATTTGGCTTTATGACTTGCCATGGGAGGTTTCAGGTAGCTGAGGTGGTGGCAGCTTGGCTCTGCTTGGTGGGCCAGCTCTCAAGAAAAGGTGGCCAATAGCTTCCCCTCTCCACAACTGGTTTGTGTCTGGCCTGAAGAAACATGGCCTTTAGTGGTTGAGAAAGGGTGGGTTTACTGCTCCCATAAGTGTTCTGCAGAAGCACATGGAGTGTATTCCTTTTTATAGGAGGGTTTTAATGTTCTCATCCCATCAGGAAGGTCACGGTGATGTGAAAGCAGGAGCCTGGTTCTGTGGTTCAGTCCCATGGGACTGGAGAGTCCTGTTTGTCCCCAGAAACCTGCAGTACCCTACTGGCTTGCAGGAGGGGATCGCAATTGCTCAGTGACATCTCAGCTCCTCTCTTGCAGTCCAGTGGTTTGGATCATCCTGCAGTGAGGAGCAGCAGCAGCAGAGCACCAAGTGCCAGAGCAGGACCTTGGACCCAGGGCCGCAGGCGGTGACAGCACGAGACATGGAGCAGTTCTTCCTGGACTACATCAGGCAGAAGCAGATTGCAGAGGGCGATGTTCCCGACTCAGGGGATGAGGAGGCAGGTCAGTGCTGTGCCTGGTGGGAGCAGAGTGTGTTAGACTTGGAGAAAGATGGGGACCTCGGGGGTTTCCTTTTGACACACAGGTAACCCAGGCCCAGGCTGAAGGTCTGGCACCTTCCTGGCAGTCTCAGGTCTGCTTTGAGCTGACCTTGGCTCACACAGTGCTGCTGGGTGCTCTTCCTGTGCTCTGTGCAGGGGGAAGTGCAGTGGTTGCAGATCAAGGCTTGCGTGGCTCTAAAACACAAGCACACAGCAGTTTTTCCTTACCTCATAACAGGTCATTTGGGTTCAGGATGCAGTCTCCTCTTCCCAAGATCCTGCTGTGTTTTCCTCACCCTCCCTTGGGAATCCCTGTACCGTTTTCTCTGGCGAATGATGCTACCACTCCCTTCTCATTTGTCCTTGACAGGCCTTGCAGACACAAACACAGGGAATTTTTAGTCTTTACTGGGCTGTGCTGCGATCCTGACCTTTAAACACTTCAGCTTTAAATACCCAGGCTGTTCACGTCTCATAAAAATCAATGGCAGACAAGTCCATGGTGAGGAGAGCCTGCAAATGTCACACCAGCTGCATTGTCCAGTGAAGAAAGCAAACCCTCCCGAGTCCCACACTGAGCTGAACCTGACACTTAGCTCACAGAACTCAAGCATGGACTTGCCTATATCTAGATGCATTTAAAAATGCCCAAGGCCTCACTTGGGAACCCGCACAGTTGTGGGTGGCTGTTGTGATCTTCCAGGGTTTCCAGGTCATTTGCGTGGCCTCAGTAACGGTTTTGCCTTCCAGATGAGGTTCCCACCCTTGCTAAGCCAGAGCCAAGCAACTGTGAGACAGAAGGAGAAGCTCCCCTGCCCAGCCATGCTCAGCTGGCCAAAGACGTGCTGGAGAGGTGCATCCACTTGCTGTCTGACGGGAGCCTCCATGTGCGGCTCAAGGTGGGTGAGCACCAGTGCCAAGGGGATGGGTGGTGGCCGAGAAGGGGCTGGTGCTTGTCAGCACGTGCATGATGCATGGGGGGCTTCCTGCCCTAGGGAGGTCAGTGCTGCCGTAGGCTGCCAGGGGAAAGGGGGACAGTTTTCCAGGAGCTGTCTGGTTTAGGAATGGCAGCCGGGGTGGTTTCATATCAGCACCTTCCCTTGATGCTCGTGATAGCCAAGTCTTATGCCTCAGCCTTGGTGGAGGAAGCAGAAGCATCTTTCTTCCATCCCCTTCCTCAGCCTGCAGTGCCCAGGCAGGATCAGTTTGGAAGGTGCTGGGGATGATAAGCAGGGCTAAAAGCCTGGGATGAGGGCTTTTTAATTACGAAAACCCTTTGAAGGTGGCATCCTTTTGAACTGCAAAGTGAGACAGAACATGCAGCAGTGAGGCATAACCCAGATTCTTGCCGCCAGGGCCCCAGCCCTGCCCAGTGATCCTGCTCCCATTCCCCACAAGCAGGGTCCTGGTGCACAGCTCAGCCTGCAGGATCAGGCCGGGTTCATGCCCTGGTTCCAGCCCATCCCCATAGCCCAGTACAGGTTATGTCACTGTGCTACTTGTCCCTTTCCTACCAGGCCTGTGCTCTGTGTACTGCTCAGTTATCCCAGCTCAGGCTTAGGCAAAGCTTTACCCTTTTGTTTTAATCCCTCCTTTCTCCTGGCTTGTCACTGGGGATCCACCTGGGTACCTGGAGCTGCAATGCTCAAGGTCTGTTTTCTGCTCCTCCTGCCCAGGTTCTGGACGTGCTGGAACTCTGTGTAACTGTGCTGCATCCTCATGGAAACCATCTGCTTCCCATGGCTCACAGTGTCTGGCCAGCTCTCGTCACCCGCCTGATCAGCGATGACCCTCTGGCAGTGCTCAGAGCCTTCAAGGTACAGCAGCCAGTCTCTGCCAAGAGCCTTCAAGCTGGTGCTTGGAAGCCAAGTGCTCAGGCATTGCTCTGCCTGTGGAGTGATGTTAACTGTGGCTGGGAACACAGGGTCACCACCCTGCAGGGGAAGGCTTGTACCACTCCCACTGCAGCTTGTCCACAGATAAAACCTTGACACTGTTCCTGGGGGGAAGAGCAATAGTAGTGGGTATTGCAGGGAAGAGGAATTGATTCTTTTACAGCCTAAGCAGCTGTCAGAGGCACTGTATAGTGCAACTTGCCCTTGCTGGAGCCAGCAGCAGCACCCCCTTTGGAAGTGTTAAGACTGAAAAGGAGGGATTTTTTCACAATGGAGGTATTAGGAGAGGAGAGGTTAAGCCAAGACTTAGTGAAGTTCTAAGAGGAAACAGTATTGTGGCCACATGGGTTGGGCTTACGGATCCCTTCTTCCTTTTCATATGTATTTAAGGCCATTCTCTGGGCCAGTTTGGTTTCTCTCCTGGGCACACACCCATGGTGCTGGGTGCCTGGGCTGTAGCCAGTCAGCCTTTCTGCTCACTGCCATGCTTGTAGAGATGGGCTGTTTCCTCTACAGAGGGGATTTATATCTTAGTGGCATCTTCCATCAGAGGCTCCTCCAGCAATTTTGAGTGAGACTTGACAAGCTGCTCCTACCTTTACTGTGCTGGTGAGAGAAGGACAGTCCCAGAGAGTGGTCAAGTGAAACAAAAGCAGGGTGCAGGTCACTCAGCCCCTCAATCAAGCATCCACCTTCTGCTCCCTATGGAAAACATGTCAAGTGTGGTCACATTGCCCTCAGCTGCAATAAAACTACCCAGGGGAAGGGGTGCCATGTCCCCACACTGGGCTGGAATGCTGGGTTCCTCCCAGACCTCTGTGCACTTACCCTCCAGTAACTGGTGCTTCCTCACTAGGTGCTGTGTACCCTGGCTCAGAAGTGTGGGGACTTCCTGAGGCCGAGATTCTCCAGAGATGTCCTGCCTAAGCTGACCAGCTCCCTCCTCAGCCAGGCCCCAGCGAGTGCCAGAGCTGGGCCTGTGTACACCCACACGCTCGCCTTCAAGCTGCAGCTGGCTGTGCTGCAGGGCCTGGGCTCTCTGTGCACGAAGCTGGACATGGGTGAGTACCAGGGAGGTACAGGCTGTGCGAGATCTCTGCCAGGCTTACCTCTTCTCCTTTCAGCTCCACTGACCAAGCCTGCAGTTGCTTCTTAGCCCTCTGCTCCTCCGTGGGATTGAGTTCCTGATTTCTCCAGCCTCATCCCATTCAGGTCTTCCTGTGTCCTCTCTGAGAGCTCTGTAGAGGGTCTGGTTGCTCTTTACTCCCCAAGAGACAAATGGGAGAGAAAATTCCCAGCACCTTGCAGAATCTGACTGATCATCTCACTTGTGCATGAGAAGTGGGTACCAAGTGGAGCTCCTGGATTGCTGCAGTGGGCCTGTTGGGCCATGCTTTGTTCTCAGTTAACTGAAGAACTGGAGCCCAGCTAAGACTTCTGGCTAACCCGACTGGTTCCATTTTGGGGCATCTCTCTGAGTGACCCTTTAAATGCAGCATATTGCGTTCTACAGAATGAGAGCCTCTGAAATTCTTCTAGGTTAAATTCCCGGAGCTGACTTTGATGAGGGAGAAGGTTTGCTGGGCAGTTGCTCTTTTCCTCTCAATGCCCTTGATTGCTTTCCTAGCTTGGCAGCAAGATGCTCAAAAGGCGAGGTCAGAAGAGCTCTGGGTCAGACAGTTCAAAGTCTCAGAAGCCTCTTGCTGCCAATTTAGAGCTGATGCTGTCAGGCTGCAGTGGGTTACCTCCTACCCTTCTTCTCTGTTCCATTTCTGCAGGCAAGAGTGACCTGAATAAAGTGGCAGATGCCTGCCTGATTTACCTCAGTGCCAAGCAACCCAGGAAACTGCAGGAAGCTGCCCAGAGGTAATGTCTCATAAATTCCTTTGTATCAGGTGTACAAATAATGAGGGACAGAGGCAGCAGAGTTGCCCCTTTCCCTTGGCACTTTTCCCACTCCTCCCTCTGGCACGTTGGAGTCCTGCACAACAGGGTATCATGGAAGTTAACCCCTTTCTCTGGTTAGGTACCATCTACTACCCAAAATCAGCTAGAGGGTAGCGTGCCCACAAGCCTCAGCTTACTTTCAGATTTCTTTGCAGGGCATTTGGGAACAGAGGGAGAATATGAGCTACTTGCTGTTTTCTGACTGCCTCCTATGTGGGGGTACTTGGGGCTCTATGCCCACTGGTGGCATAAAACTGCAGAGGAGAAGGCAGCTGTGCAAGAGGCTGTGCCAGACATTCCCATGCATTTTGTCACGTAATACCTTCTGCAGGCTGGGGATGTACTTCTGTTATCCTTCCGTTTTCCCTGAGCTCCTGTGAAATTGCCAGCCGGGGCTCTGCCAGGTGGATGAGAGTTGTTCAGGAAGCTGTCAGTCTTGGCACCAGCCTTGCTCTGGGAGAGGTTAGAAGAGCACAAACAGTTTAGGTGAACACACATCAGCTCTGTGAAGTGTTGACAGACATACTTTGCTGCTTGGTGTACAAGATCCTGCTCAGCATGTTCCTGCTGTCAGGATAAGAAATTGCTGTTGTCATATGTTGTCACCTGGACACAGGGCCAGAGACTTCAGCAGGCAAAACGAGCCCAGTTACAGAACATGAACGGGTGAGCCGTGCCTCTCTGTCCCTGCTGAAGGACAGGGGAGAACTCCCCCTCTCTGTGTGGGCAGCCTTGCCTATGGGGAGGGAGCCAGCAGGGAGCAGGTTCAGCGGGTGTGGAGACTTCAGAGGGCAAACAGAAGAGCTGCCATTCCCTTCCCCAAGTGCCGGTCTCCGAGGTGCATGGGGTGAAGGGCTTTGTGTGGCTGGGCAGCAGCTCAGAAGGAGCGTGCTCAGAAGCTGTAGCTGTGCCTTTGTTTGTATTGCTGCACTGGGGAGAGCAGGTTTATTTTTACCTTCGTGGCTTTCACTGCATCGCAGCAGGCTTCGGCAGCGTTTGTTCTGCTGAGAGGCTCGTCACTGTAGGCTTGCATACCCTTAGCACAATAAAGCCTTCATCTGTGTAAGCAATGCTGGAAGGAAAGCAGAACACCAGGATCCATCTAGATATTTGGAACCTTAAGCTTTCAAATCATTAACAAAACAGTCTGAAAAGCTGTGCAATTTCCCTCCCCAGTAGGGCTGAGGGGAAATACTGCCTGAGCCCTGTGATGTGATGGGGTCATTAGAAGCTGTACTGTGAAGGATGCTCATGGCAGTTGGAGGAAAAGGGCAGTAAAGTTCAGGGCAAGCAACGTTTTTCTCCTGTATATTATTTTTACTCTATTTTAAGGGAAATGCCACACATTACACTGCTCCCTCCTGCCTCTGATGCACTGCACATTTCACTGAACAAAGAAAGGCCTTTGTGAACAGCTCGCTCTGTGCAGCTGTGTTGACCAGACACATACATGCTCAGGCACGCATTGTATCTGGCCTGATACTAACCATGGCTATGGCAGTACCTGTAGTTTCCATTCCTGTTTGTTTTAGTTTAGTCCTGTCTGATCCCTGGTCTTGGAGCCTGGAGGGATCAGAGTTAAGCACAGCACAATCGCTTCTAACTAGAATACATGATACAAGGCTTCAGCTGGATAAGAATCACTTCTCATTCCTCAATTTCCTTTCTCCAGCTGCTCAAGCACCACATTCCTGTAAGCTCCAGTCCTTTTCCTTGCTCTCCATGTGCCTGAAAGCAATCCTGCAAATTGACACAGGCTGTCACATGTAAGGCCCTTTCCATCTAGGCAAGGGCACTTATCACCTGATACACGAAGAATTCTGCATTTTAAATGCTTCTAAAAACAGATGGGCCAGAACTAATCTTAGCCACAGCCTGAATGCCAGCATACGTCACATAACTCAGCTTTATCACTGCAGAAATCACACAAGGTAAAAAGATGTTTGGAACCAGCTTGCCATATTGATTTATACTAAGTGGCCTTTGCTCAGCTTTTTGGATTCTTATTCAACTCGTGAGTTGTGACCTGCCAAGAGCAAGGTCAGGTCTTACAAAGTCAGTCATAGCTCCAATAAGTGCCTGCACTGAGCGGGTGAGGAGCCTGCAGGTATGCGAAGGGCTGAGCAGGAATTTTAGCCAAGGTGCTGGAACCACAAGAGAAAAAAAAAGGGAGTTCTGGCTGCCATCCAGGGATGTTATCATGCCCCAAGGAGGCCGCTTAATCCCATTTATGGAACCCTGTAGTTTCATTAGGTGAACCAGTGGGAGTAAGTGAATTTTGTAACTGCAGCTTCATGCGATACTCACCAGGCAAAAAGAGACACTGGGGACAAAAAGGAAAAAGGACTCCAGCATGGCTGAGGAGGAGAAAATGGGACAATGGGCTTTGTTGTAAGATGACTGCTGGGAGCGTTCCAGGAGAGGAGTGTTTTCCAAAGCCTGAGAAAAACAAAATGCACCAAAACAACCTAAATACACTAAAAAACCCCCAACCCAAAGCTGCTGCAGAAGAGCCTGGGAAGCCAGGGAGCACTGCTTGTGTCTGCCCTGCCATTAAGAATAAGTTAGTGCACTGCAGGTACAGTGACCAGAACCCCTGAGCAGCTAAGGGGGCATGTGGGCCCCAAGCACTGAAACAAGGTGGGGGGAGACGGTGCAAACAAAGTCACCATGTGTAAATCTGAGCTTTCCATCAGTCCATTAAGTTGTATCATTCCTGACAAGCTTTTCACTCCAGGGAAAAAGGAACCGAAGGGGAAGGGTCTCAGGAGTTGTCACTGGCCTGTGCCAACTTCGGAGTTCTGCATTTTGCAGGCTGTTTGGAAATTTACACTCCATTCCCAATGCACCCTCAGAGCTTTGGAGGTTTTACCGTTTGACCCTTGCATCCACCTCCTGGGTAGGAATGGGGGTTTTCTCCAGAAATAACTTCCCCAGTGCCTACTGAAGCCTGTTAGTTTAATGTTCAGCAGAGATGCAGCAGCCAGACTTGTCCTTTGCCAGCCCATCCACTGTGCCCTGGCTTTGCTTGGAGCTTAGGAAAAGGTAAGAAAACAGCCATGCTCTGCTTTGTGCTGGTAGAATAAGTGGTTTAGCACAACAGGAACAAATAGGAACTATTTTTGGACCTTTTTAGATCTGGGAGCTGGTCAAGCAGCGTACCTCCTTTGGTTTGATTGTGTAGTTCCCTGCCTACTGATTGACAGCCATCAGTCTCGTGCTGGGCTCAAGTACACTGAGAGCCACCTGCACAAGCAAAATCCAATAAACTTATATTTAAGTTTAAAAAAAAAAGGCAACATCAGAAAACAAACTTGGATTAACCCCAGGATTCTTTGCCATGGAAACAGGTTGCTTAGAAACTACCCCAGCGTTAGGCTAAAATGTGCAAGTCAAGTTGTTCTTTAAGCTGCACAGCACTCCGGGTTATCGGAGATAATCACACACCTCAGGCCACTGCGGCACCAGAGGCTGTGGAGTTCCCCAGGGAGCACCAAGCTCCTGGGGGTGGCTCTGCAGAGCAGCTGATGGGGACAGGCTGGGGAGCAGAGGTCTTCTCTGGGAATCAGAACCCCAGCCTGGTTTGGCTTGGAAGGGACCTTAAAGCTCCTCCAGCTCCAACCCCTGCCACGGGCAGGGACCCCTTCCACTGGAGCAGCTTGCTCCAAGCCCCTGTGTCCAACCTGGCCTTGAGCACTGCCAGGGATGGGGCAGCCACAGCTTCTCTGGGCACCCTGTGCCAGCGCCTCAGCACCCTCACAGGGAAGAGCTTCTGCCTCAGAGCTCAGCTCAGTCTCCCCTCGGGCAGGTTCAAGCCATTCCCCTTGGCCTGACCCTACAGGCCCTTGTCCAAAGTCCCTCTCCAGGTTTCGTGGAGCCCCTTTAGGTATTGAAGGATACAAGAGCCCAAGTTGTGCCCATGGTGGAGAAGCAGAAGCCAGCTGAACAGTATTCCCCATTCCTGTGTTTACTTCACAGTGATTCATCTTGCCTGGCCCTATCCACCCCGCCATATGGAGAGAGGATTGTTCCCGAGCAGCTGCCCAGCGCCCATCCTGAGCTGGGGAAGCCACTGGGACCTGCTGTTTGCTGGCAGCAGCAGGCTCACACTGCCACGGCCAAGCGAGCACCAGCAGCTTGGAGAGCTGCTGTGGGGCTGGCAGGAGGTGCCAACCCTGCCCCTGGGGCCAGGCTTCTCCTGTGTCCCATCAGAGAGCTGCAGGAACAAGCAAGGGGAGCAGGAGCCCCGTGAGCTCACCTACATCCAGCCGCTCCCAGGAAGGAGGCTCATTGCCCATGGCTTTGGGGCACGTCCAGGCTGGTTCCTCCGGAGCAGACTGATAGGAACCACAGCACCCACAGGAGGGGACGCTGCCAGCAGCTTGCAGGGACAACATCCCCCTTCGTTGCTGTGCAGAGACCTGTGCTGAGAGACAGGCGAGGGGTTAATGGCAGACAGGGAAAAGCAACGGCTTTGGCTGCTCATGGTGTAAGGGTCACCCAGCCACGGGATTGTTGTGAGGTGAGGGAGCTTTCTGGTGCCTTCATCTCATTTCTGTGCTCTCCCAGGTTCCTCTCAGCACTGTGCTCCCTCTCACAGGAGAGCTGCTTAACAGGATTCCTGCCTGGTTTAGGTAGGAAATGAGCTCACTTGAGGGGTACAGGTTCTTCAGGAGAGTTCGGACACAGTGGGGTCTGCATTTTGTGTGGCTCTTGTAGCAGGTGATCTTTGATTTCAGAGAGGGGAGCTTCATCCTGTGCTGCTTGCGGGAACAGACAGAGCCACCTCTGCCCTTCCCATCGCCTCACCCCACTGTTCTCCTCCTGGCCCTGTGATTTCGGTGAACACCTCAAACCCTGAGACAGGCCTGGCTGAGCCCCAAGGTTGCCGCAAGCAGAGCTGGCAGGGGGAATGAGCGAGTGCAGGTCATGCAAACCAGCCCTTCCCTCCTGGGAGCTTCCTGCTCTCCAGCAGGACTGTCCAGAGGCGTTGCAATGGGGCTCACAGCTGGAGGCAGGAGGGTGCTTGCTCAGAGATCAAATCCCCTGGCTTACCCAAGGTATTGACGTTCAGTGAAACCCATCAACAACACAATGTAGAGCATTCAAGGAGCTGCCATTCCTCCTCCATTCCATTCTTAAGGAAGGAGGTGTGGGGTCTGTTTGGTTTTAAAGAAAATCTCGCTTTGTGAAAGGTGCTGTGCAGAAGGAAGACAATTTGGAGGCAGCAAATAAGGATTAGGATACAGTGTCCTCAATACAGCATTTAACCTTACCTGTGGCAGCTGCCCAGGAGCCCCTTGTGTTCACCACCCAAAAGAGAGAGTGGTCCGGTGGGCTGAGCCCTCATTTGCCAAACCCAGAGAGGGTGCTGACCAACATCCACACCTTGCTTTAGGAGCGCTGCAGATCCAGAGCATCCTGGGTGTACGCAGCACGTGCGTACGCTGCAGTCACCTCCCAGTGCTTGGGACAGGCTTTTGCCAGACCAGAGCCTGGGTCGGTTCCTCAGCCGCTGCTGGGCTGCTGTCCATAACCTGCTGTGCAGAACAGTTTTTCTCCCACTTGCCAGCAGCTGTGAAACAGCCACACTGTCTTCTCTTGAGCACAGGAGCCATTTTAACGGTGCTCTCTAATGCACCTCTGTTCAGAGGTGGCAGAGCACATCAGAGCATCCCGCAGCTCTGCTCAGGGCCCTGCTGGGTGCCAGTCAGCAGCCCTTCTCACTCCTTCCTTTCTTCCCACCGTTTCCCAGCGTTTTCCTCCACTTAATGGCCGTGGACCCTGACTGGACATGGCTCTTGCTGACAGAGACCTGCTGCCCGCAGGGGTACGAGCCCCCCCACGCCAGCCTGCAGCCGGTGCAGCTGGCAGGGATGGGGCGGCAGCGGAACGAGCTGACGGACAACGTGGGGCTGCTGCTGGAGCGGCTGCGGCAGCGGGAGAGCGGAGCACAGGAGCCCCCTCCTTGACGGACGGATGGAGCTGCGGGATGGAGCTCACCCGGGGAAGAGGCCGGGATCTGGAGCCCGGATCGCGCGGGGCAGAGGAGGGGCTGCGTGTTCAAAGCAGCAGCTGAGGTGAGGTGAGCTGAGGTGGGTACATCGCCCCGATTCCCCCTGGCCTGGTGCTGGGCAGGGCTCCGAGGGTCACAGCAAGGATCTGCTTCAAGGCTTCAGTACCAGGAGTGAGTCCTTTTCCAGAAATTACTTCCCAGCTCTGGATCCTTGGCCCCACTCCTGCGACCTCCTCACAACTGGCATCCTTTCTCCTGTTCTCTGCTTGACAGCGATTGACAACTCAGAAGCCCATTTCTGGCCTTAACCCTTCCCAGGGAAAGAATCCAGTTTGGGTGCATTAAAGCCATTCTCTCTGTAAAACCAGTGAATACCAGAAAGGTTAAAATGCATTTCCAGTAAATCCTCACCAGTATTCCCGGCAAGAACAACAGATCCTCCGAGGAGCATTAGGCTGCTGCTGAGACCAGGCAACTGCGCTGTGCTCCGAAGTCCCACCACAGAGCAGGATTAGTGTGACCAGATGTGCCAGTGAAACCCAGCCCTGGCTGACAGCCTGCAGTGAGTGAAGGCTCCTCCTGCCTCCCCAGTTGCCTGCCATTTCCACAGGGCATTTCTGAGACCTCTCCATCACCCACCCTGAGGAGGACTGGGTGAAGGATCTACCTGTGCCCTGTTCAGCCTCCAGGGTGGGCGCAGACGTGGGCAGAGGAGGTGTGAGCACGGCAGTGCCATGGTTTGCAATGCAGCGAGCGGAGGGAGCAGCCAGTGCCTGGGGTCTGCTGCTGCCCCTCGGAACACGCAGAGCTCACAGGAACCCGCTGCAGGTTCGGCTCCTCCAGGCTCCATCACAGACCATCTGCAGCCGGCTGCTCCCAGACCCCATCTCCTGGATTCAGCTCCTTCCCCCCGAGCGGCTCCTGGCAGCTGCAGCACCCACAGAGCTCTGTGCTGGGGGAGCAAAGGGACAGAGTGACTGTGAGTGTGACTGCGAGTGTGGCAGCAAGCTCAGAAAGGCAAAAACCAAAGCAGTGAACTGTGACATGGCACAGGCTCCGAGCATCACTGCTGGGGATCCTGGGTGAGCATCCAAACCATGTCCTGATGGTTGGAACCAAGGGTGTGCTCCTCCAGGAAACACGCAAGTCCATGGCTTTTTAGCAGCTAGGACAGGGCTGCAGCTCAGCTTCTGCCCTGTCATGTTTTGTGGATACACAAACTGATTGCTTAACACGGGGCTGGATTTTGCACAGAGGTGCCCTGCAGAGCTGAGCTGATGGGAAGACAGGAGAGGTGGGAGAGGAAGCCTTTGGGCTCTAAAGCACCCCAGGGCTGGCTCAGGGTTCTGGGGGTTGTAGCACTTAGTGGAGCTCACACCACCCCTCTGCTGCTGGTGTGAGCTGCTCCCTCTGGGAAGCAGAATCCTTCTGGATTCAGCTGCACTGAGACAAGGCCCCCCCATCCGGGCCCCAGTACAAGCAACAGCACCAAGGCCCCCGGTGCCCTCATCTGGTGTCAGGGCTCTGCCAGACCCCCCCCACGGCGCCGCCTGTCACGGCTCTCCTCAGCTTCGTTATCACCCCTGCTTTATTACAGGCAGAGTAAATTGCTTTTGTCTGAGGCAGGATAATGGCCAGAGAGTGACTGCGTGGAAATGGCATTTTCATGAGGCTGGTTCCTCCCCAGCAGTGACTTGCATATTAAGCTCAGCCCGCTCACAAGCGAGCCGGGGGCTGCCCTGCCCGAGCCCCCTTCCCCAGCGCAGGCACCTGAGCAGCACCCAAGGTGCCAGCACCAGGGACCGAGTGGGGCAGCACCCAGGGGGCGGGGGGTGTCCGGCTCCACTGAGCACCTCCAGCGCCCCCGAGGGGCTGCACGGGGGCTCAGCCCTCCCCAGCTGCTCCAAGCACCTTCCCCAGGGATGAGGGGCAGAGAAACCCGTGTCCAGCCACCTCCTGCCCACGCAGAGCCCCACACACAGCCCGTGGGTCAGGTGCTGCCAGCGGGGGTGCTGGGTCCTGCTCACGCATCCAGCAGGTTCCAACCCCAAAGATTTCCCATCAACTCGGCAAAATTAATCTGCTAATAAACCCGTTCTTTTTAAAGCTCGCCTCTGGGTTTTGCAAGCGACTCCTCCACACAGCGATCAGTTTACCCTGCACCGGAGGCGATCCGCAGCCTCCCACCCTCCCCAGCGCAGCCCTGGCCCTTCCTTTCCCTCCAGGGCAGGCGATGCCCCCGCTCCCCTCCTTCCCCCGGCTCGCGGGGCCCTGACCGGGACCCCAAGCGCAGCGCAAGCCCCTGCGGCAGAGCCCCCGAACCCCTCCCTCACCGCCTCCGGTGCTGTTTGCTCCGCCGGGACCGGGCTCTGCAGGGGGATCCGGACCGGGCGCAGGGGACGCGGTGGCTCTGGCCGCGGTCACCGCCAGCAGCACCGAGCCCGTCCCCAGCCCCGGTGCTGTTGTTGCTCTAACCCATGACAAAGGGCTTCGGAGGAGCAAAGCGGGGCGAGGGGAGCGCTGCCGAGCCCCAGGGAGCCATGAACTGCAAAGCAGGGGGGGCTCCGGGCAGATGGGGCCGAGTCAGCGCTGCCACTGCCGGGAGCTCCGCACCCAGGGCAGAGCCTGGCCCGGCGGCAGCCCCCAGCTCCCCACTGCAGGGCCCCAGCCTCCTGCCTGGCCAGAGACGGGGCCTTTGCTCTGGTGCCCAGGCAGGGATTGAAGCTGGCGCCCAGCAGCACAGAGGGGCCAGACCCCAGCAGCCCCCCCAGCTCCCCATGGCCGTGATGTGGGGCAGGCCCAGCTCACCTGGGACTTGGCTGTGTCCTGCACCCGTGGGGCAGCATCACCCCAACTCCCAGCCAGAGCAGAGCAAGGAGTGGAGCTCCCCAGCTGCAGCTTTTAAATGCTCTGAGCCCTCAGCTGCAGGTGATGATGAACATCATCACCCACACCCCAATCCCATCCCATCCCCACTGTCCTCAGCCCACCAGCCCCAGGGGCAGCCCCAATTGTGCCCCTTTTGGCCAAGACCGTGCCAAAGCCACGTCCCCTCCCTGTGCCAGTCACAGAGACCGCAGACCCGCAGAGGCTTCCTTTAAAGAGCTTTATTAGCTGCAGCAGGTCTGGTGTGGCAGGGAGCAGCGCCCGGCGCCCTGACAGGGACACCGGGACCCTCCCATCCCTCCCCACAGCCCCAGCCCCAGCAGTGGCATTTGCCCATGTGCCATTGGCAGCCACGCGGAGCCCGTGACCCAGGCCAGTGCGGTGCTGTGGCGCAGGAGGAAGGGATGCTCGGCCAAGTGGCACCAGCACGGGCAGTGGGGACAGAGCGAGGGCAGATGGGGCTCCTGGCCAAAGCCCCCCTTCCTCCATGGGATGCAAAGGGCCGGGAGGAGCAATGTGTGAAAGCGGGGCCAGCTCCCATGGCACAGCTCCCATGGGGGCCGCCGGCAGTGCCTGGCTGGGCAATGCTGCAGCACAGCCCATGGCTCCACAGCCGTGCCGGGAGCGTGGCTGCGCCGTCCTTCTCTGCTGAGCTCAAGCCTTGATGCGCTGGGGCAGCTCTGGGGCAGGCAGGGGCAGGGCAGGGGCAGGGGCAGGGGCAGGGGCAGGGGCAGGGCAGGGGCAGGGGCAGGTGATTCACTCGGTCTGTCAGATGGATGCTGGAACTTATACACAGAGCGGGGCTGAACAGAGCAACTAAACCGGGGCTCCTATGGGATCAGGAGGAGGTTTCTGCGAAGCACGAGGGAGGGCAGGGAAGGTCCCACAGGCAGAGGGGTTCCACCGGGCACCAAAGCTGGGGGACAACGTGGCTGGTGGCACCGCGATGGCCGCAAACAGCACGGCACCCTCACGTGGCACCAGTGGGATGGGGACCATCACCAGCCCCAGTGATGCCCCTGTCATGGGCACGGTCCTGCTCCTGCACCGAGCCCTGGCACCGCTGCACCACGGGGCTGGGGAAGAGACCGACCCGGTGCTGGCCGGTGGGAGGAGGAGGAGGGCGAGGGGTTCGATGGGCAGGGTGGGCGGCAGGGCCAGTCTCTGGCAGGGGCGCGGGACCCCCGAGGGCTCCGCTGAGTCCGGGGCTGTGGGGGGGGGGCTGCGGTGTCCCCCTGTACTGCCCGCCTACAGCGCGCAGGAGGCGTCCGCCGAGCGCTTCCTCAGCTCCTTCCCGGCCCGGGGGTGGTGGTGGTGGGGGTGAGCGTGGCCCGGGCCGGGCTCCGGCAGCGCTGCGCCCTGCGGCTGCGTGTCCTGGGGGTGCCCCGTGCCCCCCGGCGCCTCCACGCGCAGGAACGCCTTCACCTTGTGGTGCCGGGCCTGGCCGTCGCTGGAGTCGATCACCCGGCACTCGTAGGTGCCCTCGTCCTCCGGCTTCACCCGCGACAGGCGCAGCTTGTGGGAGATGTTGCTGCCGACCACCTTCACCACCTGCGGCGGGGACACGGGCTCAGGCGCCTGTGGGGACCCCGCTGACACCCAGAGCACTGCCCCCCCTCCGTGGGTCCCCGGGGTGACGCGGCCCTGGCGCGGGGCTCGGGATCCATGCGCATCCGCGCCCGTAATTGGCTTTTCTACCAAATTGATCCGCTCTCACTATTTATCACCCCATGAAATTTAAGGCTCAGTCACTGGCCAGGGCCGGGGCTGCTGCTGGGCTGGGTCAATAAATCCCATTTATGACCCGCCCCGGGCCACTGGCTCTGTTCCCTGTCATCACGCTGGGCGGCAAAGGCCATTCTTCTGCTCGCCGCTGCGTTTGTTAGCGGAAGATTTTATGGTGTTTAGAGACAGGGCAGAGGCCAAGGCAGGCTCCGAGCCGTGCCCAGGACGGGGCAGGGGCTGTGTGCTGGTAAAGGGGAGCTGCGGGTGCTGGTGTGAGTGAGCTGGGTGCTGAAGGAGCTTCCGAAAACGCCTTTGTGTCAGCAGAGCCAGGAGGCACCGGGATGAATGGGTGGGAAGTTT